CCTTTCAACTTGACCAATGCCCCAGTCACTTTTCAAGCCTTGATGAATGACATATTTTGACCTTTCCTACGATGGTTCATTTTGGTCTTCTTTGACAATATATCGGTTTACAGCCATACAAAAGAGGATCATATTCAGCACTTGAAGATCACCCTTAGCACACTTGAAGAACACCAATTGGTTGCCAGCAAAAAGAAATGTTTCTTCGGCCAACGGAAATTAGAATACTTGGGGCATGTTATCTCGGTAGATGATTCTTCCAAAATCAACAGTGTTTTGCAGTGGCCAGTTCCTAAAGATATCAGGGCATTACGTGGGTTTCTTGGTTTGACTGGATACTACCAAAGGTTTGTCAAAGATTACGGGAAAATAGTCATTCCTCTTACATGTTTACTTAAGAAAGATGCATTTCAATGGAATCCTGAAGCCTAAAAAGCCTTTGATGAGCTTAAGCAAATCATGACATCAGTACCAGTGTTGGCTATGCCAGATTTTGCAAAAGAATTTATCATTGAGACGGATGCCTCAGGGAGTGGGTTAAAGGTTGTTCTGATGCGGAGGGTAAACCATTAGCTTTTTTGAGCAAAGGGTTATCCGCACAATCTAAGCTTAAATCAATTTATGAATGCGAATTAATGGTTATTGTAATGGCGGTTCAGAAGTGGCGACATTACTTAGTGGGGTGGCGATTCATCGTTAGAACCGACCAACGAAGCTTACATTTCCTAACAGATCAGTGGCTACTGAGTGAAGATCAACAGAAATGGGTTACTAAATTGATAGGCTTGAACTTTATCATCTAGTATAAACCGAGGATAGAGAATCGAGTAGCTGATGCATTATTCAAAAGAAATGAACAGGTTGATTTCAGTGGGCTGTTTGTGAGTTATTTTGCAGGGATTGAAGAACTAGAGAGTGCAATTCAACAAGATGACAAATTGCGTAGGATTGTCCAAAAGCTATTGTTGGATCCCAATGGCCATCCACCATTTAAATTAGTTGGGCACCATCTCTTGTATAATGGCTGGCTAATTTTACCAAAGAAAGGGGCTCACATTCAACTACTCCTACATGAGTTTCACTCTCACCTGTTGGGGGCCACTCGGGTTTCTTTCGAACTTTTAAAAGGCTCAATACTAGTGTGGTGTATTAGGAGGGCATGAAACGGGATATTAAAGAGTATGTCGACTCTTGTTCGGTTTGTCAACAAAATAAATACCAAGCTCTGAGTCCCGTCGACTTACTGTAGCCTTTATCTATCCCTAATAAGGTGTGGGAAGACATCTCCATGGACTTCATCATCAAACTTCCGAAAGCAAATAGCGTCAACACTATTTTGGTGGTGGTTGACCGATTGACTAAGTAAAACCATTTCTTGACTCTTAAACATCCCTACACAGCCATGGATGTTGCCAACCTTTTCATTAAGGAGATTGTTCGACTACATGGGTTTCCCTGATCGATTGTCTCCGATCGCGATCGGATATTCATCAGTCACTTTTGGAAAGAATTGTTCAAACATTCGGGAACGCAACTGCGAATGAGTTCGGCCTACCAACCTCAAACAGATGGCCAATCTGAAGTGGTGAATCAGTGTGTAGAGACATATCTACGCTGTTTTGTGGGTAGTTAGCCTCGTCAATGGCCTAACTGGATCTTTTGGGCCGAGTTTGGTTTAATACGACATTCAATGGCTCCACAGGTATAACCCCTTTTAAAGCACTTTATAGTCGCGATCCTCCAACTCTTCTTAAGTTTTCAGATCATGGGTTAACTATCGATGAAGTGAACTGTCAATTGCAAGCTCGCAATGTCATCTTAGCTGAGTTACAGGAGAATCTCCTCAAAGCTCAGGGCCGAATGAAAAGCTATGCCGATGCAAAAAGGAGGGAAGTTCAACTCGAAGTGGGGGATTCAGTTTACCTTAAGTTGCAACCCTACCATCTTCGTTCTTTAGCTCTTCGATACAATTAGAAACTAAGTCCTCGATTCTATGGCCTTTTGAAGTTAAAGAAAAGATTGGAACAGTGGCTTATCGTTTGAATCTACCCCCCAGAGCACACATCCATGATGTTTTCCATGTGTCACAGCTCAAAAAAACGAAGTACCCACCACCTACTACCCAACCTTTCCCACCAGCGCTGGATGAAGATCTTGTTTTAAGGGTCGAACCAGAGGAGGTTTTACATACGCGGAAACTTCTAAATGGTACTTTGGAAGTCTTAATCAAATGGAAATCAAACGAAGTACCCACCACCTACTACCCAACCTTTCCCACCAGCGCTGGATGAAGATCTTGTTTTAAGGGTCGAACCAGAGGAGGTTTTACATACGCGGAAACTTCTAAATGGTACTTTGGAAGTCTTAATCAAATGGAAATCAAACGAAGTACCCACCACCTACTACCCAACCAGTTCCAGGAATGATTTTTTTTTCTATTGAGAAATGTGTGGAAATATATGTATCAAAAATTTAAGATGTAAATGGGAGACAATGGAAAGGATATAAATAATAGAAGATTGATTGATTTAAGTTTTCAAAATTTTAATTCATTATATATAAATTTGATTGCTTTAATTAGATTAGTAATTAATTTGTACTAATATATTTATTAAAATTTAAATTCATTATAAATAGTAAAACATAAATACATACAACCATAGGATATATATATATATATATATAGGCTTTAGCCCAACCTAACCTACACCAAATTAACCCAACCCAACTTGGTGAGATTTAAGATCGGGCGGTAGAATAAATAAGAGATATATATATATATATATATATATAAAAGTTACATTTGTTGTAATAAAAATGAACAAATTTGGGCCTAAACATCAAGCTGAACGTGAATCACCCACCCAGTTTAACCTGACCTGATTTGATTGGGTTCATAAGGTTTATGAGCGAATCGAGTTCAGTTATACAGACCTAAACCCGATTTTACCCACCTCTAAATGTTAGACTTATATGGCCCACGTCATTGTTATTATGTGATAATTATCGTCATTATTTGATTTTTGATAATGATATAATAAATAATGCTAAAATCATATTGGTCAATTGAAGTAGTGGTAGTTTTCTTTTAAATTTAAAAAAAAAAAAAAAAAAAAATTGATGGAAGGAGATAAAATGTTAGTGTTTATCGAATACTAGTCCTCTATCAACCCATATAAGAGAACATGTTCTCCATCATTCAATTTTACATAAAATAAAATAGAGGTGATTTCAAGTTACAGAATATAATATTAGAAGAAGAATAGTTTTCTTATTGCAATAACTTCATTAGATACAAAATTAATTCAATTAAATCTTACAAATCCATTTAAAAGAAAGAACTTCATGGAAATGCTGTCAAAAGACTTTGTTCTTTTATTTACAATAATAACGAAGTATTAGATTTCATCTGTATACCTGCTCATATTCAAATTTGATTTCAAGATAATTAAATTAATGGTAATATTGTTTAGAAAAAAAAAATTGAAAATAATAAATATGTAGGAAATGAAAGTGGGTTTGAATAATGTGGGCTAAATGAAATGAGCCCAAGCTCAATCACGAAGAAAGTTTGGACAAGAAGAGATTAAAACTAGAGGAAATGATTTTTAACCTCCATCTTCTATATTAAATAGGGGTATATAATTATACTTAGAAAAATAATTAACAATGGTGTTATGCATATTTACTGTTTTGATTAAGATATAAAATTTTCATATACATAGTTTCTATGAAGTTGTCAACTCTAAAAACACTCCAAAAACTAACATAAAAATACATTGTTTGATTCAAATTCTAGTAATTTCTTGTTGTATGATCACTACTCTATTTAAACAATGTAATTCATAACAGGTCTTCAAAATATAAAACTCATGATAGAAAAACAAAAAATTAAAAGAAAAAATAAAATAATAAATAACTTTCTAAAAGAAGATCAAGCGGTGGTTTTGTTTTCTTTAAATCTACAAAGATGAGATCTGAAAATAGAAAAGAACATTAAATAATTTTAATAATTAATACAATAAGCTTTAATTTACTTGTGAAATTTTGAATTCTAATTGACCTAAATTTTTTTACTTTTTTGTAACTACAAATTCAAAACTTTGAAATAAAAGTACCAAGGAAATATTTTTATTACTATTATACCCTCATTTAAAGGAGGAGATGGGGGCTAAAAGTCATTTTCCTAAACCTAAAAGAAGAGGCCAAAGAAGGCCCTATAAGGCCACCATCAACACTTCTCTATCCAGTTAAATTCAAATTAATCTACGGAAACTTCTCAATAAACAGGAAAAAAAAAAATAAAAAAATCTATACTCTTGTTTGCGGTGAGTTATTATCCCTTCGCCAAACAAAATAAAGTAGTTCTCTTTCATTATCAAAGAAATCGATAAATTATTGATCTAACCAACCAATTCGAGCATTTCCAGAATCAAATGTAACCAAATATTTACAATGTACAAAAAGGATGTAAGTTAAACAAAAATCCACATAAACCTAAAAATATGGAAAACCAATTCAATTTAATAATCATTAAAGCCTTCATTCAGCTTGTTATAACCCNTATTTTATTTTTTGATAAATGAATAAGTCTAATTTTTCTTATATTAAAATTTTATTGTATTAAAATTGAATTAATATTTGAAATAAAAAAAAAAAAAAAAAAAAAAAAAAATTAATTGAATTGAATTATTGATATTTGAAAAGTTTATTAAAAACAATTACATTTATAATTGATTCATTTATAAATTGTTAATTATTTATTTGAAAAGTTAAATAAAAAAACAAAAAAAATAAAAAAATCAGGCTAATCCGGCCTGGACCGCCACCTAACCCAACGGGTTAGGATTGGCGGGCCGGGATGGGCCAACCATTTCCCCCAAAATGGCAGGCCTAACCGGGCCTGCCTTTGTTGGCAGGCGGGTTAGGCCCGGCCTGCCAAAGTTCGTAATCCGCCGCGGGTCGAGCCTGACGGGTTACTTTTCTACCTTTAAACGCAACTATGAAATAACAAAAACGAAAACAGGAGATAGACAATAACGTTCGCCACTAGAAAAATGAAATAAACGTTGCATATCAGCATTTAGTTTTTTCAATCCAGAATTATCACTGCTTTGAAATTGGTAAGAACAACCAACATAAAGACCACGACCACAATAACTCCCCTCAAATGCAATAATGGCACATAGAGCAAATCCAATGAACTTTCTGTTGCACAAATGCTGAGGTGGCACAATAGTTATCGAAGATCCTGAACTTTGATAGCTAAACCAATCAGGAATTTTACTCCCTGGTAGACATAAACTAGTTGAAGGTGTTTTTTCAAATACCTGAAATATAAATGAAAATTCATGATTCCTGAGAACATAGAGATAGAGATAGAGAAAGAGCAAAAAGGTACCTTTTCATGACAAAGTCTTAACAATTTAGTTGCCATATGTTGAATTCGTTGTTGTGAATCCACCAAAACGTTGTTGCATGCTTTTTGATTCAGTTGCATGCAGTTTGTAAATATGAACTCGATTCTGGCATATGCAAATTGGCAAGAACACTCATATACTATTTCCAGTTCGTCTGCATTTAATTCTTCTAGGTGTGATGGAAGCTCTAGTAATGATTGGAGCTTCTTGCAATTCCTTGCATCTAAATGTAGTAGACGTACCGGAAGCTCTGGCAATGATTTAATCATTTTGCAATTGCTTATCCAAAGACGCTTTAGCTGAGAAAGTCGTTTGATGCTTCTAGGTAAGCTCTCAAAATTGTTCACTTGTAGATTTAATATTTCCAGAGAGGACATACAACAAAGATCTTCAGGGATTTCAGTTAGATAGCAATAAGACAGATTCAACTGTGTTAAGGAACCTAAAACTGAAAACGAGGGCAATACCAAACTTCTACATTGAGAACAATCTAGAACTTGAAGTTCTTTACAACAAGCAATAGAGGATGGTAATTCACTAATAGCAGTTCTTCTTGCATGGAGGGTCCTCAAAAATTATAAATTCCCCAAGTTATCTGGCAATCTATCGACTTTTGAGCAACCAGAAAGATACATAGAGCATAGAGATGTCAAGCTGCAAATACTACTTAGAATGGTCTCAAGATTTTTGAGATCCACCAATGTCAACTCATGATGCCCATTTAAATGTTCAATAGAAGATGGCAGCTCTTTCACTTTAGTTGCTCTAGCTACAGAAAGATATTGTAAATTTTTTATTTTCTCTAAGATTTCTGGGAAACTCTTAAGCTTTGAGCAATTCCAAAGTTTAAGCCTACCTAGAGATTTCATTTCACAAATGCTTGTAGGAATTTCTTCTATTCTGGTCCCAGATAAATCTAATTGTTTTATACTACCTGAAATCTTTGGAAAGATTCTAAGACTTTTGCAATATCTGAGGTTCATAACCTCATGCACTGGGGCATCTGAGAGGTCTGGGATCCTAGTCAAGTATCTGGACTCATGAAGATCAATCAATTTCAACTTTGAAGCATGCTGTAAAAAAATAATTAAATGATTAAAATAAATTAGTATAAGTGAACCACATAGTTTACACATGAAACAACACATATATAATAATAAATAATACCTTAGTTCCTTTCCAAAGTTGTTCCACCTTGCTATAAGGCAATTTAAGTTCAACAAGGTTCTCTATATCAAATTTTGACGGCAATGTTTTGAAAGGGAATCCCTCCCAATGGAAATACCTCAACTCATTAGGAAGATATTTCAGACCCTGAGGAAGATGCACTTTAGAAAAATCCTCAAACTGGAGATGTACTTTAGACATTTTCACAAACACTTTGTAAAGTTTAGGAGTATAAAACTTCAGCAGTCTAAGATTAGACATATTTGCAAAGGCTCCAGAACTTAACCATAGGTCTCTTATTTTTGACATATCTAAGAATATGCCTTCAATTGAATCAGCGCCCTGATAATCAAAAACAACAAAACATAAGTGAGCATAAAATGCATAAAAGCTTCATAAAATTTACAACAGGTAAAGATAAAATTTGTATGGATTGATTGTTGTTTATTGGACATTTAATATAAGAAATAAAATGAAATTCATTAGGCTCTTTACCTTATTATTTTTCAATGTGTTGTAGACATCCCCGTGATACCACAACCTACTACGTTTCGCAAGCTCCTTGGTAGATTCTTGGAAAACAATTTCCCAACCCATTTCTTGCAATAAATCATGCATTTGCAACTTGTTATTTGATATTGTGATGAGAGATTTCTTAACGAGGTTATCCAATCCAAAATTAAGAGATTGATAACGATCTAGCATTATTTGAGCTACATTATCTTCATCCTCTCCTTTAAAGAAACATGCTATATTAAGAAATATCTCTTTCTCATCTCTGTTAAGTCTATCATAACTAACTTTTAACACATCATGAATTTTGGGATCACAAACCATTTTCAAGTTATACAATGCGCTTTACCATTCACATTTGCTCTTTTGAAAGAGGGAGGAACCCAACACTTTAAGAGCTAATGGATTGCCTTTCACATAATTAATTACCCTACTTGAGAGCTCCAAAAGATCTTTAGAGGGACGGCTTTGTTTAAAGGCGTAATTACAAAACAACAAAAGAGCTTCATTGTGGTTGAATTCCTCAACCTCATATATGTTACGGTTTTGCACTCCACAGCTATAGAACACTTGTTTATCCCGAGTAGTTATAATAATTCTACTTCCTGGACCGAATTGGTCAAGCCCTCCAGTTAAGAGTTTAAATTGTTCAAAATCATTTATATCATCAGGAACAATGAAAACTTTTCTGCGTCAAAGTCTATCATGGATCTATTGAGGAATTATGGGAGTACCTATTTTGAGATTTTCTTCTTCTAATATTTGAGAAAGAACTTGGTCTCTTAGATGAATTAATCCACATTTTTCTGATTCTTCTCTAACATTAATACAAAAGTAACAACCTTCATATTCACAAGAAATTTGGTTAAAAACAGCTCCCGCAATGGTTGTTTTACCTATACCACCCATTCCCCAAATTTCTATAATTCGGAATTCTGACAACTCAATGCATAACAATGACTTGATTTGCTTAATGCGTGACGTCTCGTCCCAAGCCTTCAGAATCACTAGAGATAGATATATTTTTCAATTTCTTTAAAATATCTTTAACAATTTCGTCTACAAGTGTTGCCTCAGGCCTATCAAATGTGAAGATAAATAGTACTGAGTTGGAATGTACCATGACATAAGCATAATATTATAAAGCAATTTGTTTTTTGCTTTTCCAGTAGAGGACTAGAATTGTGAATACCCCTTAATTTGTCCACATAAATAAAAGAATTTTGACAAGATTATGTCCTATAGTACTAAAGAACTTAATTTTATCAGAAGGCTTATCCTGGGATATTTTTTATGACTCTAATTAACAAGGCAAGATTTAATAAATAATCATTCATTAAAAAATACACTACAATATAATCTTTATCCAATCATTTCTTAAAAATGCATTTAAATAAGATGTCTTATAGAACTCAAATGGGAGTTAAACTAGTTTTAAGTAATACCAGAACTTTTCAATAAACTCATTCTGTAGTTATTATAAAATCCAAAAAAAGTTAGAGAGGTCACTAGTATTGAATATAAAGCTTGATACAACAAGTTCACAACAAAGGACATTACAAATAAATAATGGAACCAAAAAAAAATTATGTAATCACATCTCTCATAGCATCAATCAAATAGAAGATTTAAAAAAAAAAAAAAAAAAATGAATGAATGGCATCTAAAGGCTAATTTTCATTTACACTCACTCTGTTAAAAGTTTAAAAGTTCTCATATAGCATTACTAGTTAAAAAATTATAAAGACTTTAGAGAAGAGTTGAATTACTTGGTTACAGAGGAATCCCATCCAGATAAATTGGCCGCTTCTGTCAAAGCATTCCTCCATTTCAGAACCTTGTTTCCCATCATTTTGAACCGTTCTTCATGCTTCACAAACGCCTCCCCGAAAGTTCCCGTTTGCTTCCGAATGTCCGACGGATTTACATGGAAGAAAACCGGTATAACCATTTGGTTATTCAATTTCTTACATTCAAGAATTTGTACCAGTTCATCCAAGCACCATCGGGATGACACATAGTCTTTTGAAAAAATGACTATTGAAATCTTGGATGATTCAATTGCTTTCAAAAGCACAGGTGAAATTTCATCTCCTCTTTGAAGTCCACTGTCATCAATAAAGGTTCCAATCGCAGCATAGAGATGACTAGTAAAGTTATCACGAGTATCCTCACCTTTGAAACTAAGGAAAACATCGAATTTGGCTTGAAGGGTAAAAGACACATAGTCTTTTGAAAAAATGACTACTGCAATCTTGGATGATTCAATTGCTTTCAAAAGCACAGGTGAAATTTCATCTCCTCTTTGAAGTCCACTGTCATCAATAAAGGATTCAATCGCGGCATAGAGATGACTAGTAAAGTTATCGTGAGTACCTCGCCTCTGAAACTAAGGAAAACATCGAATTTGGCTTGAAGGGTAAAGGAAGATGCATTGTCTTTTGAAAAAATGACTACTGAAATCTTGGATGATTCAATTGCTTTCAAAGGCACAGGTGACATTTCATCTCCCCTTTGAAGTCCACTGTCATCAATAAAGGTTTCAATCGCGGCATAGAGATGACTAGTAAAGTTATCACGAGTATCCTCGCCTCTGAAACTAAGGAAAACATCGATTTTGCTTGAAGGGTAAAGGAATTACAAGATAACCATGATAATGAAGAAGCCATAAACGGAAAATACAAGATTGTATGATGCGAAATTAGTGAACAGACAAAGATGTTCTCAATTTTAAGAAGTAAAATTCACCATAAGGAAATGCTGCTCCCTTCCACGCGACTTCTTATGACTTTCTTGGACCTTTCTATTACAACAAAATGTAAGAGAGCAGTTGACACGACCCGTCCCGAATCTCCTCATCTCGTAGGATCCGAGCGCTCCCACAAGACTTGGATACCTGAGACGTGCCATGTAGAAAAAATGTGAAACCTGTTAAAAAACCTACTTTTCTTGAATAACATCATAGTATTTCCATTTCCAACATCTCAAAAAACAAAGGACACGCATCATCTTTCGTTTTACAAAAGAAAAGAGTTAGGGAAACTTGTGGTATCAGGTTTTCCACTTATACTAAACATTACAAAACATGAAACAAAAGGAAATCCATGATGGGAAACATGAGTTCTTGAAACGAAAGTCCAAATTACAATGCAAAATAAATATAAAACCCATATAAAAACATGTCGATGCGTGGCACAGCCCTCAACAGAGGCTCACTGCTTGGCACGATCTCCGAAAGGTCTTGATGAGGGGGGAAAACATTTAAAAAGGGGTGAGCTGAAATACTCAGTGAGTGGGGGAAAGGGGAGGTTTATAAAAGTTCTTAAAAAAAAAGAAATAATAATAACATACAACAATTCTTAAGCAAATCCTGACGACCATATAATTCTATATATATGCAATGGAAACAACCATCCCATTCATGTATGCAATATGTGATTTATTTCTAACCATCCTGCACTCAGTAAAACTGTACTCTGACTTACTTCCTTTAAATGTATCGGATTCTGTATAAAACCTCAACATTTTTTATTAAAAACTCTCACCACAACTAGTACCCTAGGGAAAATCTGTCATACCTGGTGGGCGTCCCACACGCAGGTAGAGCGAGGGACGTACCTGTCATACCCAGCAAGGTCTATTATCGCGCGGGCAGAGCCTCAAAACTATCATACCTAGCCGACCACTCAACGCCTAGGCAAAGCACTGATAACTGTCATACGCGTGTGCAAAGTCAAAATCTGAAACTGTTATACCCGGCGGAATCCTGCATCGCTCGGGCATAGCCAAAAATCTGTATCTCTGGGGGATGGGTACTTCGTAGGGTGGTTTTAGCACCACAACATACTCATGCATAATCTCAAGTAACATGTAAGTCAAGAGTATATTACGTATGTGCCTATAGATCATACATATATGACATAATTTTCAAAAATCACATATAGGGATGAAACTATAATTTTCTAAACATGTTTTAGAAACTGACGGTTTAACCCAGGTTGAAAATTATTTCAACATCACATGATCTTAGTATATAATCGATACAAATCATAAGCAAATATCACTTTTAAAAGTCGAAACTCATATAACACATTATAATGATAATTAAACCCAAGAGCAAAAATAATAATAATAATAATATAAGAATATTTCATATAAGGATGAATCATGCCAACATATGAGATTTCATGGAAAATAGGGGGTAAAATGCAAGTTTTTAAAACATACTTTCAAAACTGACGAAAAGCACCCCATTTCCCCTTTTTACCGAGAAGATTATTTACCACATCATATATATATATAATCCCAGCCACCTTTACCTGCATAATTTGGCCAAAAATGCAGTCTAGAACCATATAATTCCAGCCTCCAATCATGTTTTTATTCAACAAAAATGCAACCCATAAACGCATATAAAACCAGCCACCACTACATGTGTAATTTCGGCCGACATAAAATTCATAAACACATAGAATCCAAGCCATCATTGCATGTATCAGATAACACATAACCAAAGAAACCCCATTCAAACAATAAAATGGAAAACACAACTTACACATGTAGACATGAATTTAAGCATTTGGATGCAATGTACCTCCATGCATGTAAAATCCTTTGTATCTTAGAAACAAAACTCAATAATTAACACATGCACGCTTGGAAATATTGTGAAAAAGGTTTGATTTTCGCCACTCACTCTTCTAATCCTATAATTGACTGCCTATTACAGTGCTTGAATTTCGATCTCCACCGTTCAGAATATAGAGTTGTGTCTTATGAACAACATATCCAAAAAATAGAACGATCGGATGGCAAACGAGTTCCAGATCACGATTTGATGATGCACTGTTCATAGACTCAAAAACTAATTTATCCTCTCCCTTTCTCTTTGTTCTTCTTTTTCTTCTCTTCCTCTCTCACTCTATCTCTCGGCCGAACCCACTCTTTCTTCTCTTCTTTTTTTTTTTTTTTTCTTCTCCTTTCTCTCCTCGCTTATTTCTTTCTTCTGCTGTCGTTTTCTTCTTCATTTGGGCGAACTGCCCAGTTTTTTTTCTTCTTTAAAACTAATACAATTTTCTGAAATTATAAATGTACGTCCCAAAATTTCTAAATTTCATCTAACCCCGCCACATAAGCTTTTCCTAGCAAAAATGTCCAAATTTTTCCCTCTTGTATGCAAACCCATCAGGATTTATTTCTTCATTTTCACCCCTTAACGCAACTTTATAAACTGACAGAAATACCCCTATCTTACCACAATACCAAAAATCAAATAAAAAAAAGAATTAATTAACTAAATACAATTCATGATCTAATGGGGTTTTACAGCAAAAGTCAACGAGAGAGGAATGTTGATGCTGAGGGAGAAAACGCGGTCAGAGGAATAAATATTGATCAAAGAGAAGATCAAGAAGACCTGTTACTTTTCTGGATAGTTTCTAAGTAGTAGATAATCAACAAGTTGGTTGGAAAACAATGGTAGAGAGACGATGCTAAGGTATTTGACAAAATGTTTAAAAGAGGGATGCATTTTTGTTATTCAATATGATTCATGACCGTTTACGGTGGTAATGGTATAATTAAAAAATTGCTTTAAACACCTAGCAGGGTCATTTAATATAATTCCTAGTTTTTTTTTTTTTTTCGGTGATCAAAGATGTCTAGGTTAGTTTGCGCGCACCTCTTCAGACGCTGAAATTAACAATCAAGTATACCCTCAAGTGGCCACCCCTATAAACAATCGAGAGACATCAAACTTAAGACCTCTTAAGTAATACATCCAAGAGTCTTTATCGTCCCACCCGACCACCCAGGAGTAGTTAAATTCACCTTCTTTTATGTTGCTTAAACTTTTAAGGGTTATAAAAGACGTACACATAATTCTCACACGAAAACATATATAGTAACTATTGAATCAGATCCAATCTTTTGTGATGCAAATTCACACACAATATAGTGATATAATATTTTAGCTAAATTATATTCTCACACAAAAACATACATAGGAATTTTGCATACAAAGTTTTATACACAAATCGATCGTAGTACAAAACAAATGACAGAATGCATATTGAAAAGACCTTTTTATTTACTTAGGTTAAGCTTGAGATCGCTTTAGCTTTTTCTTTAATCATTGGGCCTTTCGAATAATCGGCTTTTGATAAAAGCTTTTAAGTGTTTGTTTTGTGAAATTTATAAATTGCTTTTACTTTTGAAAAATGATATGTGATAAATGTAAAATGACTAAAATAGTGGTTTTTTTTTTCAAATAAGTATTTTTTAATTTTTAAAATATATTAAAATTATTTTTTTAAATAAAAAAATTGAGAACACTGTACAATTGGTTGGAGAGTCATTGGACGGTAGTTGTTGATGATGGCCGGATGCTGTCACTAGAGATGCATCCAAAGACACTGCTTGCTCCATTTGGTAGATCGCTGCCTGATCTACCCAATGAAGTGATCAAAGACGTCGCACACTATGACATGTCGTTGTAGCATATAAAAAAATGTCGGTCAAACATTTTCAAGCCTACTTCAACAAAACGTCTTAGCCAACAGACTTTTTGATTGCCCCATTGGGTAGATCGCTGACGATCTATCCAATGAAGCTCGAGGTGTTGTCGAAGCCCAAAAGCACCTCCAATGACGGTGTCTAACCATTGTCAATGGTTGTCGTCCAACGACCCTCTCGTAATTGTACAATTTTCTTAATTTTGATATTATTTTATTGTAATTTTATTTAATTAAAAAATCATTTATAGAAAAAAAAATAGAATTTAAGTTAACCTTAGGGTGTTTTAATGATTAACCATATCAAAAACAACTTTTCAATTATAAAGTTACAAAAACTTACTTCTAGATTCCTTTTATAAAACATATTATTTCATAGTCGGTTATATAATCACTTTTTAAATTAATTTATCAATTACTTTTCGATTATCGATTATAAAATAAGTGATTATGAAAAAACTACAACAATCCCAAACTCACCCTAAGATCAGTAGTTTAATATATTATTTTAAAGGCCATTTTGAATATTAAAATTTGTAGAAAATTAAGAGATTTACGTTTAGAACAATTTTTATCATTACTTCAGGCTAAGTCATGTATCATTTCAAGCCTTTTAGATTGTATAAGTTATTAACTTCCACATCTGATCAAATTTATACATCTATTCAAGTTCCTCTAAATAATTAAGTAATACTGTTTTGCTTACAATTGAGTCATATAACTGAATCATACAACCAGATCAAAACTGCATAAAATTCATGTAAAATAACTACTTTATCCCTTGTGTTTTTGCCTAATTGTATGACTAAACTATAAGCATAGTATTGCTCATAATTAAGGTAGAAATTAAGTTGGATCACACATTCACACACAAATCTTCATCTCTATTGCTTCTACCATTCTCATCACTACAAAATAAATCCATTACATATTTAATTTGATTAAAAGAAGAGATAAGATTAATGGATAAAATCAAGTTAATACAAAATCTTTTTCAAAAAAGATCCTTAAAGTTTTCGGCAAGTATTTTAAAAATTCTCCACAAGTAAGTTACTTTGAAAGGGTGTATATGACATTAACCCTTGTATAAATAAGTACACTAGTTTTACCCACATGGGACTTAGAACCTGTTTGACTAAGCTTATGAAAATTAGTTTGTAAACAATTAATGTGTATAAAGTAATTTGAGCTTATAAATATTTTAAATTTAAACAATTATGTGTTCAATCAAAATACTTATAAGTGACTGATAAGCAATTGACGCGTTTAGTAAAATGTGACTTATAAATACATTTTATTATTAAAATGACTGAAAAGAGTATTACATTATTTTATCAAATAATAAATTATATTAACTCAATTTTTTACTATAATATTATAAAAAATATATTTCGATCATATTACAATATAATTTAATTTTAGAATCAAATAAACAAATACTTTATAGACAAATATTTTATTAAAAGCGTGAGTTGTTTGAAATATAAAAATGAGATTATATGATGAAATTTTAAAGTTAAATAGGATAATGTGATAATATATTTGGTCAAAGTAATTTATAAATCCCTCAAACACCCCCACCCCACAGAAAAAAAAAAAAAAAAGTTCTCCCGACTTTTTTTTTAATTTTTTTTAACTTATAAGCCTAAAAAAGTTACAAACAAATAGAATAGTTTGATTTTAGAACTTATAAACTATTTTAGAACTTATAAACTATAAGCTCAAACAAATACCCCCTTAACAAGATTAGACATACTTTACAACCAAATCTTTCAAGATCCCATTAGTGAGTTCTGCCAAATATATGAAAATGAACAAACATAACCGAATACCTCTGCAAGAAACACAAACAATAGGATATTCATGAGCACTTCTAGCCCTCTTTATTTGTAAAATTCAGAGCCGTATCAGTGTTCTTCTCATTGGTTCAATAACCCTTCTAAAAGTCTTTGGAAAACATGATATATCCATTGATTTGTTCTCCTACAACCGATGGGCAATTGTTTTGTTTGGCTGTGGATTCAGCAAATAACCACTTAAATAACTGAAAATAGTCATTACTAAAACCACAGAAAACAGGGGAGAAAATAGAGCAGCTCATTTGTATCTCTTACAAATGCTCGTTCACTCATTCAGATCAGGTCTAATTACGTTGGAGAAATGTTTTATAATCATTCTTAAAACAAAAAATAGACATCCCCCACATCATGTTAAATTTTCGTTCACCAGAGTTAACTTTTTACTCTCAAGTTTCGCAACATTGTACTTCAGCAGTTTTAGCAACAAGAAAATTATTGAACTGCCCGAGTCAAAGCATAGGTCAAGCATTCAATATAACTCAAAAAGATTTTTAATCAGTAAACCAAACTTACCTAAACATTTTGGACACACAACTTCTCTTGTAAAATCTATAGAAACTAAAATTTGATTCTAGAATAAGCAGCATAAATTTGGAAGGGAACAAACTTCAGGAAGAGCCGCATATTGGGCCACAGGGAATTTATTTCTTTGGACAAGCCTTCTGCGATAGCTTAACTAGTTGTGTGATCAAACACATCCATCCAGAATAACATTTAATTATAAGACTAAAATTAGTAAGAATTGTCTACAAAACAAACTAGTTTCGAATTATTTCATGATAAATTTTCCATAAACCCAAATCATTATTGTGCTCAATCAGTTCCCATGAAAATCTATAAAAGTAGTTCTTACTCCTTTCCACTAACGATACAAGCTTTGCAGTTATCCAGCAAGCACACAAGAATTGTAGAATGTTAAGGATTACCTATCAAATTATAGCACAAATTTCATCCAACGTAGTGAAAGACATAAGAAGCTGTGAATTTGCCCGTCATACTTATGAACAAATCCTGAGCCAACCACTCTAATGAATGATGCAGTAGTAAGATTAGAAATAGCTTTGGCAAGTGTGGGTTTTTCGATTCTCAGGAAGGGAAAACTAGAATGCTGTTGTTGGAGAAATATCCTTGCTCTAATCATCATATGCTATCACTAATAGTTTAAGCCTCAGTTGGGAAGAAAAAGGCTCAATAGTGTTTTTATTTATAAATAACAAATAACAAGAATAAGAAAACATTGGAATAGGTGTTGCATCTTCAAATGATTTGATAGAATAAATTCAATAATTTTACACTTCTCCGAATGCCAAGGACTTAAAATTATTTAATTGAAAAAATTTACCACCTTGACATCACAATTAATAAACTGATGAGTATTCTAAAACAAATGATAGTGTTTTGTAAGTTTTTTTAAAAAAAAAAAAAAAAATTGAACCAATTGTAAATATGCTCTGAAAATTATCAAACAAAGATGATATAAAGTTCCATTTACTGTTTAAATTCATTCCCTCACCCATCTATGACATAGCAGCTTCAATGTAAAAATTCAATAGAATAGCATTACATAGTAAATTCAAAATAGAAAAACAGTATAATAACTTATTACTCTAGCTGGGGGCTTAACCTCCTAAAACAAGGTGTAATGATGTGCATTTACTTCAACAAAAACATGCATATTTGAAGAAATTAATTAGAACAAAGAATGAGCTCAATTCCCCCAAGCATCATGCATAGGTCAGTTGAATCAAGTGTTTCACAAAAAACTCTGCACTTCAAAAAATTAAAAGGAGTGTATCAAAACGAGCAAAGTTCTATCATATCGAACCAACCAGTAATTTAGTATTAGGCAGGGAAAACGTACAGAATACAGCAACAAATTATAAAAGCAGTAATTTCCCCATGAACCATAGAACTCAGGCAATGTATCAAATATAAACATAATTAACTGAATGCCAGCCTCAGAATTAAGCATTTAAGAAAAACTTTAAATTTTGATACTAAGCCAATCACAATGCATATTACCTGAAGCTGAAAAGTCCATCGGTATAACTAGTACTCAGTTTGAAATGCAGGAACACAACAAAAGCATTATAGTGCTTTACACAAAAGCTTGTGTGTTGCATGAAATGGAAATGTTGTTGATTAAATAAGTAAATGGAAAACACTATTTGATGAAAGCGAAGGTAAAATTTCAAACAATATAAGCTTCTAAAATGTATTACTTGTTCTCATAGCAATCAACCTATCATAACATGCGAATTAAATAAACCTTATCATAGAAGGTCTCTAGTTTTAATATTTCTTAATGGAAAAAAGAATAACCAGAGAGCTGAACTGTGTTTCTGCAATTATAAACACAGGCAATACCTTATATTCAACAGTCAAAGATAAAAAAATAGAATACTAATATTACTCATTGAGAACAATTTCTAAACACTATAAGCTTTTAGTGACAATAATTTCTAAACAATCACTATTTCTTCATCAGATCTACAACTTAAACTTCTACTTGTGACAGCATGATCAAAGTAGTCATCATGACATTCCTAATTTTAGTGTCCTCTTCCCAAAAACTTGATTGATTGCACAAATTCTCGGTACAAATGTTACGCATCATACATAATAACTTAATACAAAGTAAAACTAGGCTTAATATTATTCTAGCTCTAGAAAATCAATATATGAGAAACTTAATTCTATTAACTGTAGAACAATAGGGACTTTAATCGATAAGGTAAGAAAATATTAATCCTATATAGAAACCTAAAAAATTTAAAAGTTAAAATACTAACATAAAATAAGAGTCTAATAGACATTATGTGAATTGAATTAAACTACTAAAATTAGCACTAATTTGTTTTTCTTCTGAATATAAAATAAATATATATAGTCATCAACTTCGTTTTCTTCTATTTTCCTTATGAACGCAAATAATTAGCCACCACTTAGAGGAGGGATAATGGCCAATTCATCTTTGTCTTTAGCAATAATTGAGTCATTTGCATATTCCTCGTTTAAAGCAAGAACCATGCAGCCAGATCTCTTCCAAGCTTGGAAACTTTGCAACAAGCTTGTTCAAGCAATATTCAGTTGTACTACCATATGATACTTCCAGAGGTAAATCACTTAAACCGGTTAAATCTTGAGCTCTGGCAAAGAACGATACCTTTATTTGAACCGATGATTTGTTGTTCTCTATAGATATACAATCTGAATTCCAAGGCTTGGTTTCTCTTTCTGTAGCATCTATAGTAGATATAGAAATGTGTCAATTAAAATGGAACTTCTCACTGCAACAATGTCAAATTCTAAACAGTGATAAAAATCAATATCAAGAAGTGACATAATGGCCAAGAGTTACATCAGAGAGAACAAGAATCTAAGTTCTCTGAACAAATAGTCCAGATGAAAATCATTCGTAAACGAAAGTAACCAAATCAATCCAACATTGTCCCACAACTCACAAGTAGAAGGCATTCAGAGATTCATCGAAGTCAAGTTTATAAACTATTCTTACAGTGGTTGATTTTTAAATTGCCAAACAAAGCCCAACTAAAAAATGTTTCAAATCCTAGAAGATAAAATCACTGTAACATGCCTGCTAGTAGAACTTATTCCCCTTGATAAACTAGAATCTAAGTAGGTAATCTCACCCTAAAGACCTAACAAGAAAGATTGGTACTAGCATTGTAATCATAAAATCTCATCAGTGGATGTTAGGCTATGCCTTTCCCAGCAAATAGAGCAAATATGTAAATTTGAGCATAAGTTCCCAGTGGCAGAGCCATCTTATGCCTCAGATAAAAGATTACATGGTGTCAATTAAAACATATAACCATACTTATTTCATTTCCTAAGCTTTGGACCTCCATTTACTTCATTTTACATCATTCAAAATTGACCCCTATCTCAAACACTTACAGTCCTTGTCTCAAATAATGTATACCTTTTCCATCATGTTGAGGTGAATGAAACCTGCATAAATTCAAAGTTAAACTGATGAGCAACCAAGGGGTATGGTATACCATAGGAAGAAGAATGGGAAGAAGCAGGGGAATAATTGTTAGGCAGGAGGTTAGAATTTGTTATAAGGGGACAGGTGGCTTGTGAGGATTGGAGAGGAGAAATTCTGTTAGAAATAAAAAGGTCTCAAGAGAGAATAAAAAGGGCAGGAGCGAGAGAGAAGGTTTGAGAATTATTAAGCCATTTTGGAAGGGAGGCTACTGACCCTCGAAGTCAGTAAATGTGGAGGTGGCTGACCCTCAAAGTCAGTCGAGTACTGATAGGACATTGCTACTGAGTGAATATTCTCTGGATGTAATGTACTGTGTGATTGGTAATATAATAGGATATTTTCTCATTTGAGTGTGGGTGTTGGCTGTGTTGTGGATAGATTGTTGGTTTGTTTGTGGATTTGCAGGTCAGGTGTTCATCAATTGGTATCAGAGCATTGCGTTCTGGGTTATGGTTGTGACAAGAATGGACTCTAGACTGGATAATGTGGAAAAAGAGGTTACGAAGTTGGGAGTTGAGATGGGCACTATTCGAGAATGTCTGGTGGAATTACAGTCCTGGGTACAAAGGAAGGATGAAGAAGAAGCTGGTAGAACTGAGATGCGATTGTCTGAAAATGTCCGATCTCACCAGGAAGAAAATCCAAATGGGGCGAGTGGGTCTGGCACCAGTAGCCAAAGTCACAGTGAAATGAGTGGTAGAAAGTTGGAGATGCCGATATTTTCCGGCGAAGACCCTTATGGATGGATCTTTAGAGTTGAGCCCTACTTTCACCTCAATGGAATAATTGAAGAAGGGAAATTAACAGTAGCAGCTGTTTGTATGGAGGGTGAAGCCATAAATTGGTTCCAATGGACGGAATCCACAACTCTGGCGACGTCGTGGGCCATGTTTAAGCTGGCACTTCTTCACAGGTTTAGTGGGTCCCAGGAACTCAACCCATATGAGTCGTTAATGGCCATGAAGCAAACTGGGTCAGTAATGGAGTTTCGACGTCAATTTGAAGCCGTCGCTGCACTTTTGGTAGGGGAGAAGGAGGAGATTTTACAAGCAGCTTTTATCAATGGGCTGAAACTTGAAATGAGAGCTGAAGTCCGTTTAGCCTAGCCCACATCTTTAACTCAAATAATTGATCTGGCCCAACGCATTGAGGAGAGAAATAACGTGATTGAAGAAGCCCAAGTGGGAGCAATTAGACATTCGCGTGTTAATGGGCTTGGATATTCCTATGGATCCAGAAACTTGACTCGACCCAAAATTCCCAAATAACGCAGAATCCCTAAGATCAAATCCTAATTCCCATTTCCATCGACAATCGCCAGAAATATCAACTCATGGCTCGTCGACCAACTCCTCCAGTCGCGACCAACCACCGACATCCTTTTGACCCTACGATCGACCAAACTTCCAACGACGCGAGTTCCCATTCCGACGAATGACAGATGCGGAAATCCAAAAGAAAAAGGAGAAAGGTCTTTGCTTCAGATGTGATGGTAAGTTTTCATTGGGTCACAAATGTGGGGAAAAGCAGTTTCAGATTATCTTAATCGATGAAATGGAGGATGATCCAGACCCAATTGGTGGAGGAGTCTATTGAATCTGGAATGGAGCCACAGTAGGAACAGGTTGAGCTTTCTCTTAGCTCAGTGGTAGGGATTCACAGTCCAAAGACCATGAAGCTTAAGGGCAGAATCCGTGGTAAGGAGCTGATTGTATTGATTGATAGTGGGGCTTCCCACAATTTTATTAGCTCAAAGGTAGTGGAGTGTTTGGGTATTACTGTGGTGAAAACTCAGTCCTTTGGGGTCAGAGTGGGTGATGGGTATAGTGTGAGATGTGAGGGAGAATGTAGAGAGGTTTGCATGGAGCTACAAGGGGTGACGATTATCCAAAATTTCTTTCCATTTGATATGAGCAGTGCTGACGTTGTTCTGGGAATTACATGGCTGGAGACTTTAGGTGAGACAACCACAGACTGGAGGAAGCAAACCGTGAGGTTTAAACTGGGAGACTAGATTGTGTGTTTGCGCGGGGACCCATCTTTCAGCAAAACCATGGCTTCACTCAAGGCTATGATCAAGGCATTGCAGAGTGAGGGACAGGGGGTGTTTGGTAGAGTTTGGACAGATTCAAAAACAAAGTGATAACAGTGAGGATGTCGATGATCGGTTATTGGAAGTATTGCAGAAATTTAGTAGAGTTTTTGATCCACTCCCTGGATTACCACCCGCCAGAACTAGAGACCATGCCATTCAGTTAGTGCTGGGGACTCAACCACCAAATCTCTGACCTTATAGATACCCTTACTACCAGAAAAATGAAATAGAGCATATTGTCAAGGAAATGCTAGCCTCAAGAATAATAAAACCCAGCATCAGTCCATTCTCAAGTCCAGTTTTGTTGGTGAAAAAAAAGGATGGGGGGTGGAGATTCTGTGTTAATTATATGGCAGTTAACAAAGTGACGATTCTCCGGATAAGTTTCCGATTCCAGCCATCGACAAACTATTTGATGAGTTAGACGGCGAGACGGTATTTTCTAAGCTTGATTTGAAATCGGGCGATCACCAAATCCGAGTGAAACCAGAGGACACCCTTAAAACAGCCTTCCGAACACACGAAGGGCACTATGAGTTTGTGGTAATGCTCTTCGGCCTCACCAATGCACCGGCCACCTTTCAAGCAGTCATGAATGACGTTTTCAGGCCTTATCTAAGGAAATTTTTGTTGGTTTTCTTTGACGATATATTGATCTATAGTAAGGAGATGGACGAGCATGTAAAGCATCTACGCATTACCTTGCAGGCGCTCTTAGACAATCAGTTGGTGGTCAATAAAAAAAATGTAAATTTGGGCAGTCACATTTGGAATATTCAGGGCATGTGGTTTCAGCTGAAGGGGTGTCTGTTGACCCTTCAAAGATTGAGAGTATTATCAAATGGCCAACACCGAGAGACATCAGGGCACTAAGAGGGTTTCTGGGGTTAACAGGATACTATCGCCGATTTGTTCGCGATTACGGAAAAATCGCCCTTCCACTCACTGCCCTGTTAAAGAAAGATTCGTTTGTGTGGAATGCAGCAGCTCAAAGGGCTTTTGACGAACCGAAACAGATCATGACCAGCGTTCCAGTTCTCCAAATGCCTAACTTCACTCAAGAGTTTGTCATAGAAACCGATGCTTCCGGACGTGGCTTGGGTGCGGTGCTAACGCAAGAAGGACGACCGATTGCTTTTCCTAGCAAAGGTTTGTCCCTTAATTCAAAGTTGAAGTCAGTTTATGAAAGGGAATTAATGGCTGTAGTTCTGGCAGTGCAAAAGTGGCGCCATTGCTTGTTGGGTAGACGTTTTGTTATTCGAACAGATCAGTGCAGTCTTCATTTTCTCACTGATAAGAAATTATTGAGTGAAAATCAGCAAAAATGGGTTATCAAGTTGCTGGGGTTGGACTTCATAATTAAGTATAACCCAGGACCACAGAACAGGGCAACAAATGCTCTTTCTAGGATGCCAAACGTGGTTGACCTTCAAGCTATCTCAGTGGGCTGTTTTTCTGGACTGGACAGTTTGGAAGATGCCAGTCAGAGTGATGATAGATTATGTGGGATCATGCAACAGCTCCTAATCAACCCCAACAGTAATTATCCTTTCAGATTGGTGGGCCGCCATTTGCTATACCATAACAGATTGGTGCTACCTAAATCCAGGCCTCACACCCAGAAAATTCTACAGGAATTTCATGCATCGCCCATTGGGGGCCATTCGAGGTTCTTTCGGACGTATAAGCGTCTCACAAATGTGGTGTTTTGGGAGGGGATGAAACACGACATCAAAGAATTTGTGGCTGCTTGCCCTGTTTACCAACAGAATAAATATGACGCCATGAGTCCAGCGGGGTTGCTTCAACCGTTACCCATCCCTCACCAAATGTGGGAAGACATTTCTATGGACTTCATCACGGGCCTTCCGAAAACAAAATGGGTCGATACAATTCTAGTAGTTGTGGATCGTCTGACTAAATATAGCCATTTTTTACTCTCAAGCATCCGTACACAGCGAAAGTGGTTGCGGATCTGTTTATCAAAGAGGTGGTTCGCTTGCATGGGTTTCCTCGTACCATTGTTTCCAATCGAGATAGGGTTTTCATGAGCAACTTTTGGAGCGAATTATTTAAACAATCAGGCACCCAATTACACATGAGTTCCGCATACCATCCGCAGACAGATGGTCAGACAAAGGTCGTAAACCGTGGCCTAGAGACTTATCTCAGATGCTTTGTCAGTGAACAGCCACAGTTATGGCCCAAATGGATTCCATGGGCGGAATTTTGGTACAACACTACTTATAACCGCTCCACAGGAATGTGTCCCTTTAAGGCACTTTATGGCCGTGATCCCCCCACAGTTCTGCACTATTCGGACCACACCTCTTCAGTCGAAGAAGTGGACTAGCAACTTCAACAACGCAACTATATTTTAGATGAGTTAAAAGAGCATCTCCTCAAGGCTCAACACCGCATGAAGTCTTATGCTGATCACCATCGCCGAGAAGTTATGTTTGAGGTTGGGGACTCTGTTTATTTAAAGCTGCAGCCATACAGATTGAGATCTATCGCTCGTCGACTTAATGAGAAACTTAGCCCGCGGTTTTATGGTCCATTTGTCATCACGGACAGAATTGGGGCAGTTGCTTACCGGTTGGCACTTCCACCCTCAGCTCATATTCATGATGTTTTTCATGTTTCACAATTGAAAAAGACAACTTTTCCAATTCCCAATAGTCAACCTCCACCGCCAGCTCTCAATGAAGATCTCATATTACAACTTGAACCGGAAGCAGTACTCAAGAAAAGGAAACTCCTTAATGGACAGTGGGAAGTGCTCATTCAATGGAAGGGCCTTCCCCCATTTGAAAATACTTGGGAAGACTTTGAAACTATCCACCATCAGTTTCCTTCTTTCTACCTTGAGGACAAGGTGGCTCTCCTTGGGGAGGGTAATGATGAGCAACCAAGGGGTATGGTCTACCGTAGGAAGAAGAGTGGGAAGAAGCAGGAGAATATTTGTTAGGCAGGAGGTTAGAATTTGTTATAAGGGGACAGGTGGTTTGTGAGGATTGGAGAGAGAGAAATTCTGTTAGAAATAAAAAGGTGTCAAGACAGAATAAAAAGGGCAGGAGCGAGAGAGAAGGTTTGAGAATTATTAAGCCATTTTGGAAGGCAGGCTACTGACCCTCGAAGTCAGTAAATGTGGAGGTGGCTGACCCTTAAAGTCAGTCTTATGTTTACCATTTCCTTAGTGTACTTGTTATTTTCTCTCTGTTATTTGCCATTTGAGTATTGATAAGACATTGCTACTAAGTGAATATTCTCTGGATGTAATGTACTATGTGATTGGTAATATAACAGGATATTTTCTCATTTGAGTGTGCGTGTTGGCTGTGTAGTGGATAGATTGTTGGTTTGTTTGTGGATTTGCAGGTCGGGTGTTCATCATAAACTCAGAATGTTACTACTGATATGTGTATGAAACTATCAAGAAACAAGTTGAAGACCGCTCTATTAATGTGTATCACTGTATTGTATAAAAAGGTTTAGCTTACTTCGGGAAACAAAAAGAACCTAACATTCTATTCAAGAAACCATTCAGGACGGCAATATAATCTCCCCTAACATCAACGATATGCTTTTGCCCTTTTGCAACACAACTCAAATATCAGAAATTAACTGAGTGAAATCTTTTTTTAACTGCAATTCAAAATAAGAAAGTAGTGAAACATCAACTAAAAATAGCCACAATTTTTCCAGATAATCATAGGGAGTTTGGGAAGTGCCTCTGGAAAATGTTGTCAAATAGTTAAAAGATAAAAGCTGTAAGCTCTACTGTAGTGTCTAGCTGAAACCAACAAAAATGCTTTTAAAAAAGTGCTTTTGGGAGAAGCACTAGATAATTCTCTATTTATCTTGTGGCAACAAACAGCTCTTAAAGAGTAAAGTGAGTTTTAAAAAAACACTTAATAAACATTTTCAGAAAGGTACACTTAAGTGCTTTTATGAAAAGCACTTCTACTAACAAAACGCTTCCTTCAAAATCACTTTTAAACCCAGCTCCACAAAATTAACATAAAGCCACTTTTGAACATTTAAAAGCACTTCTGGCAGCTCCCAAAGCACTCTCAAGTCCAACACACACTATCATTTTGGCTCTCAATTAGCACAACCAGCATTCAAAAACAGCAAAACCTTAAATATTTCAGCTCCCACAAAAAGGAAAAAAAAAAACATAAAAAAAAAAAAAAAAAAAAAAAAAAAAAAAAAAAACCAAAAAAAAAAAAATTAAAACAGAAAAATAATAATTATTCATGAATCAGTAAATTGAATAGTTAGGAGCAATGAATCAGGATTATATTAATATACAGAAGTATAGAACCAAATTTAAACCAAAACCCAGCAAACAAATTCAAAGAATAAAAAGCTATTGTAAAGGAGAGTTACCGGGAACCTGAAGAGAAGGTCGTGGGGGAGACGGTGGAGCATTGAGAGAAGAGGAAGACGAAAATGAAGCGACAAAATTGAAATAAGAATGATTTGTGGAATTTATTTTCAGAATTAAATATTATTATGTTATTTTATGTGAAAGGCTATGCCGCTATGGTGGGATGGGATGGGATGAGGTAAATAACCATGTAATATATATTTTATATTTTATTTAAATATTGTTATATGAATTCTAAGTAATTCTAACTATTATTTTTTCCTTTTATTTAGTAATGTTACTTGGCTAGTACAGAGCAAAATTTGTGTATTAGAATATAACATATAAAATCAATTCAGAAGGATATAAACAATAATAAGATTTAAAATTTTCTTTTATATATAAACTTGTTTTTAAAGCTTTGAAATTTCCATTCCATATATTATTGATATTAAGTTAATGTGTTAAAGGATTATAAGCCTAGAAATTAAGATTCATAAGTAATTTCTTTTAATTCTATTCTAACGAGTAGAAGTTCTTCGAATTTGCATTAAGTATCTTTTTTTTTTAATTTATTATTATTTTTTTTTTTTTTTGAGGTCACCAAGAACAAGAAAAGAATCACTAATTAACAAAGTGTTTCTCGTCACAGTTCAAGTACTTATTTCTATATTTCCTAATCGGGTATTTGAACACATTGAAAATTTAAAACTCAAGTGTGAGTGTATGACTGCTTGGAGTTGCCCCAAATTTGATTAGCCTTTTTTTTTTTTTAATTTATTTGTATAAGAAATAAAAGAGGAATAGAGAAATATGGCCGATTGAAGTTGCCTTTAAAATTGTTTAGATTTTTAATTTGAAGAATGTAATACAGGCAATTGAAGTTGCACAAATTTGATTAGATTTTTAATTTCTTGCGTATGAAATAGAAGAGGTATGTCGAAATAAAAGTCTAACTGTTTTTGAGAATAAAAGATTAATATGATAGTGATGGTGGTTTAATGTATAAAATTAAAGTTTATAGGGATTTAATTATAATTTTTTATATATTTAAGTTGATTAATGATGTGGAAGTGGCCGCCAGTTTGTCACATCATTTGGGATACTATTTTTCAGATAAGAGTACAGACTAGACTTGACAATCTTTGACCCATATCCGCGGGTATATAGGTATCCGAGTAAAATAGACGGTTACGGATGTTTATAATATTTATCCGTTCCAAAGTTACTTGTGCCCGACCCGCCCGTAAAATTTACGAGTGGGTCGGGTGATACCCGCGAGTACCTGCAGAATTTAAAACAAATTGAAATAGGAATAATGCGATAGGAATTAGAGATTTAGGGTCTCATTTTGTCACTCATTCTCATGAATCTAAACCCTTGATATTCACAGTTCATAATATATAATAAAGAAGCTACAAAAGCAAAGAGAAGAAGATTGACAAAGAGAAAGCATAGTCGAGAGAAAGAGTTTTAGATATGTGTTGTTGATGGCAGAGGCAACGACAACAAAGAAGATTTGTTTTGTGGGAGCCATTGTTCTTATCTCCACTGTCTGCTTCTTCTTCCTCTGCTGTGGTTGCAACTTTTGATCTTAGTTTTCTATTTTCTCCATTACAGCCATGAATAATGCTTAAACAAAAAAATAAAAACAAGCAAGTGGCATTGGGTGGAGTCTTAATACTAGGTTTACACCACCTTCTCACATCATTCTCTCACATCAACAAAGTGCCATGTAATTTCCCCCCAAATTCACCCTAAACCCAAAATTTCAATTCTCAACTTACCTAAAACAAACCCCAAATCGATCTCAGTTTCTCCAAAATACAAAAACTAAAATCTCACCAAAATTTCAGCTCTCAATATACCTAAAACAAACCACAAATCGAATCTTAGTTTCTCCAAAATACAAACACTAAAATCTCTCTCCAATTTTCCTTTAAAGATTAGTGAATTTGATTCTTTTCTAAGCCCACCACCGTTTCCTTCTCTTCGTTTCCTCCAATTGCGTCCCCAATGAGCGCCGCACTTGTAAAGTGATTATTTCCCATTTGCTAGGTTCCATAACGTCGCACTTGTAAGGTTAGGCGTTGTTTATATGATTTTAAGCCCGAGTGTGTGCCTTCTCAAGGGAATTAGAACTGTAAGTCTGGAACGATTTAGGATATTTATTAATACATATTTACATTTTTTTTTTCTCTTTTGTTGGTAAAAGGAAGATGCCGATGCAATCTTTCATGGGTTTATTTTCTAGTCTGTAGTGCATATATTTCTGCTACAAGAATGTTGAAGAGTTTCAGTCTTGGTGAACAAAGAGAAATATGGGGAAAAATATTGCTTTATTGATTCAACCAACTCACTCATCTCGTTACTGTACAAATGCATTTATATTACATTTAAATAAGTTAACTCAACTAACTAGTTAACTAATTCAGGTTGTAACTAACTCAAGTAAACCACTAACTAATTGAACTGTAAACTAAACTGATACAATAACTGATTCTCTACAGTTATAACAACTATTTAACACCCCTTCTCAAGTTGGAGGGTGGTAGAGATCAAGAACCCCCAACTTGTGTAATAGCTTGGAATGAATGTGACCTCCGAGTGCTTCAGTCAATAAGTCAGATGGTTGCTCTGCAATAGGAATATAGGCAGTTTGTATGAGACCAAGTTTGAGCTGATCTCTAACCATATGGCAGTCAAGATCAATGTGTTTTGTCCTCTCATGAAACATGGGATTAGAAGCTATATGGTTTGCAGCCTGATTATCACATTGTAGGGGAATATGCAGTAGTTGAGACTTTGAAACATCAAGCTTTGTGAGGAGTTGTACCAACCAAAGAAGCTCACACACAATATCAGACATTGCTCTGTATTCTGCCTCAGATGAGGATTTGGAAATGGTTTCTTGCCTCTTGGATTTCCAGGATATTAAAGACTTACCAAGGAAAACATAGTAGCCTATCACAGATTTTCTAGTCATAAGACAAGATGCCCAATCTGAGTCGCAATAGGCTGACAGAGTCATATAGTTTTCTGCTGGAAAAAATAGGCCTAATCCAGGTGATGTCTTGACATACTTAACTATCTTGAGAGCTGCCTTCAGATGTGATTCCTTAGGCTTGTGCATGAATTGACTAAATAAATTGACTGAAAAACTCAAGTCTGGTCAAGTCATACAGAAATATAACAACTTACCTACTAACCTTTGATATACACTTGGGTCCGAAAGTAATGGATCATTGGCTGAAGGAAACATTTCATCATATTCAACAGATGCCAATTTCAAAGTGGAATCCATTGGAATTGTGGAGGGTTTGGAACCAGATAATCCATATTCTGAAATCAATTCTAATGCATACTTCCTTTGACACAAAATAATCCCTTTAGCTGATCGAGCTACTTCAAAACCTAAGAAGTACCTTAGTAATCCCAAGTCCTTAAGCTTGAAATTAGAATGCAAGAGTTATTTGGTTTGCTGAATCATTTCAGAACTACTTCCTGTAATCACTATGTCATCCACATACACCAAAAGTACAACAATGTGTGAACCAAACCTTTTGATAAAAAGGGAGTAATCTGATTTAGATTGACAGAAACCACTAGTGATTAAGGCTTGTGTAAGTTTATAGTTCCAAGCCTTAGAAACCTGTTTTAATCTATAAAGGGATTTGTGAAGACTACAAACCATATTCTGCCCCCTCTGCTTAACAAAACCCTGAGGCAAACTCATGTATATCTCCTCTTGCAAATCACCTTGCAGGAAAGCATTATCCACGTCCAATTGATAAAGAGGCCAACCATTCATGGCAGCCAAAGACAAAATGGTTCTGACAGTAACCATTTTCACTACAGGAGAAAATGTTTCTACATAATCCACCCCAACCTGTTGAGTATATCCCTTACCCACCAACTTGGCCTTATACCTTTCTAAAGAACCATCAGCCTTATATTTCAACTTATATACCCATTTACACCTAATAGGAACCTTGCCAGGGGCTAAAGGGACTAAAGTCCAGGTCTTATTGTGTTCTAAAGCTTGTATTTCTTTCTGCATTACACTCACCCAATTTGGATCTTTAGAAGCTAAAGAAAAAGAGGAAGGCTTAACGAAATGAAGATTGGATAGAAAAGCCTTGCAAGAAGGAGAAATATGGTTATATGTGACAAAATTGGAAATAGGGTAAGGAGTAGCATTGGCTGAGGAATTAGGTGTAAGAGTAGGATAAATGAAATCTGAAGTCCAAATAGGAGGCCTGGTAGTTCTATTGGATTTCCTAAGAGGATGAATAACAGGCTGTGAAGGTAAAGTAATAGGAGGAGAAATAATGTGTTGGTCAGGTGGCAAATTAGTGGAAGGAGAAGATGGTTCTGTAGACTGGACAAATGGCATTGTAGTATTAGATAGGGAAGTGACAATGGAAGGTGCTGATTCTGTTTCAAGAAAATCAAATGTAGGAGGAAAGGGATTTTGTGAAGAAATGGACCAAGAAAAAAGGAAAATATGTTCATAGAAAGTGACATCCCTTGAAACTGAAACTGAATGAAAGGAAAGGTTATAGAGGAAATAACCTTTCTGAGTTAATGAATAACCTAAGAAAACACAGGGGGCTGATCTAGGGGATAATTTGTCTTTATGAGTAAGAATTGTAGCATAAACCAAAGAGCCAAATACCTTGATATGATCCAATGAGGGAGGCTTGCCAAAAAAATTTCAAAAGGAGATAAACCATGAAGAATAGATGAGGGAAACCTATTGATCAAATACACTGTAGTTTGGACACAGTATCCCCAAAGATGGTTTGGTATATGTGCCTGAAATGTCAGTGCCCTTGCGACCTTTAGAATATGCCTATGTTTCCTCTCAATAACTCCATTTTGTTGAGGGGAATATGCACATGAGCTTTGATGTGTAATACCGTGTTGAAGAAACAAGTCATGACAATTTTTATTAAAAAACTCAAGGCCATTATCAGTTCTAATGCATTTAGGAGTAAATTGATACTGATTTTGGACCATTTTAAGAAAATATTTGATTGTAAGAAAAGTCTCAGATTTGAATTGCATAAGATATATCCATGTAACTCTAGAATAATCATCTACAACAGTGAGAAAGTATCTTGCATTACCATGA